ATGACATAGATGTAGTACTTTTACTTACACCAAAGTCTCTTACTGCACTGAAGCTTTAGTGATGTCCCTCACTTGTAAGTTTTTTTGGATGAAAGCATCTGACAAATGAGTAAATTATCATTTATTATTCTCGAGGTGCTGCCAAATCTGTTCAAAACATAACAACAGGTACACTCACAGCCAAAACGCACTCGTCACTCTTTCCACTGTTCCCCTTTAAAAACACCATCAACAGGCAGCTTCACAATATGGTCTTCCCTAATGTTTTTAATGTGTCTTTTCTTTATTGTTTGTGTTCATTGTTTATTTATTTAGCAAAAGACACAATTACCATTATAATAAAAAGAGTGTTTCTTTATTGTATGTATTTACATGTTTTTGCCATTTTAAGAGTATGTTGCAAGTGGTTATTTTGCATCTACTTTTACTTTTTGTGTCTATTTCTAGTCATTTTTTGTCTGGTAATACTTGTTTTATATCTTTATGTTTCTTTGAGGTCATTTGATTGACTTTCCAGTAACAAATATTTGTTTTTTTCCAACCGGTAACACACTTTTCTCTAGACTGAGTTCACTTTTTCGAAATTTTTCACAGTTTTCTTTACTATGGAAGTCCATATCTGCCACTGTGGTGAAAAAAAAAAAGATCCTGTAAATCATTATAATGAGAAACTTTCTTGATCACTTTCTTGATCACACTCAGAAAAACATTTCACATGGGAGGCTTTAACATGCTGACAGGAGGGAGACACCAAGCAAAGATTAATCAGGGTTACATCGGTCAAACTAGGTCTGCAGGTGCAGTGGAGACAGTGGAGACATTTTCTTGAACACTAAAGAACGTGGAGGACAGGAAATCATAGCGAGCCATTTCAACACACTTCATTGTGGTGGTGTCATCTCAGAGATCTGGCCAGAAGACACGTGGTGAAACTGGTGGTGGACACCAGCACTGGAAGAAGCCTTGAGGTTGAAGAGGCAAGTGTTACGGTTTGAGAGGAGTTCGATGAGGCAGCAAGGAGCTTCTAGATTCATTAGAGGACGAGGATGAGAAGGCAGCGCTTTGTTCTGAGTATTCAGACTGACACGTGTAACAGGAGCACAACTGAGGAGTGTTAGGTGGGGCTTTTTCCACACCTGGAACGCCTGACCTCGACTGCAGAATTTTTGGACGTAGGAAGGAAACTTTTAAAACAGATAAACTCCCTGTGGAGGATAGCACGGGAAAGGCCTTTCAAACAGCAAATATGATAATTAAACATTCCTGATGCAAATGACCTCTTGTGATGAGTTACTGTCCTTCATCGTTTGTATGTAGCAACCACCTGCCAACAGTAACCACCTGAAACACCCTAGCAGCTGAAAGGTGACTTCTGCATCGTCCACATGTGCAGGATAGCATTTAGAGTTCAGTGAATTAGATGAATTCACAACCAGAACCACAAATCCTCTTAGAGAGGAAGTTGGGATGTGATGGAGATCAGTTGTGCACAGCATCGGACTGATACCACAGGGATTGTGTTCTCCTCCTGACCTTTCACTAACCTTAACCACTAACCTTAACCTCATACCTTGACCATTAACCATTACTTTCTGAATATTATTACTAATGATCTATTTTGACGTATATAATGACTTGTTGGTCAAATGCTACTGATAAAGATGCAAGATTTAATTTTTCTCAAGTTTTTTCCAGGGCCAGGAAGGTGCACCAGAGGGCAGTGATGGGGTGTCTCTCCTAGTCCCAGGTATCAATAAGCTGCCACCACTCAAGGTCATCATCATCTTCATCGTCATTCAGCTCTGTAGGATTTCACCTAAGTCTGCTGTAAAATCAAGTCTTGCATTCTTTTGCAAGAACATGCGGCATATCGTTGTGCAGTGTGCCTGCTCACAATGCCAATGAGGCCAGGTAGTTGTGGCTGTGTCTAATAAACATTAAATAATCTTTGTGTTTTATTATATTTTTATGTAAGAGAAACTGCACAGTGTCACAAGTGAAACTATCCAGTCGATGTGAATTTTGCTCTCGTGCAAAAAAGGACTAAATTCAGTCCAGTTTGCACAAATGCAACTGAGGCCACAAGTAAAGCAAAGTTTACAAGTGGAAACTGGGTTGTGCATGTCATTTTACATCCTCTGATTACAGCTTGTTTGCAAATACTGCTTGTTGTTTGCAATGTAAATAATGAAAAAAGTCATTTACTCGACTGATAAACACAGGGAAAGTAAACATACTTATTCTTCAACATGATACAGTTCTATTAAACAGATGAATTCAAGTTAAAACAGAAACATTTGGTCCCAGCTAAATAATGTTCTTACCTGTCCAATAGTTGATGTGGGAATGAGGCCAGGACTGTGTCCACCTTTAGATCTGCTCTTGTTCCATTGTGATGTCACAACCAGCAGAACAGTGGCGGGTTCTAGTTCTGCTGTTCTGTTCTCCTGCAGCGTTCTACTGGTGACACACATTCCTCTGTACAAAGGTCACGTGTTCAAAAGGTTGCAAAAAGAAGTCCGATTGTATTGAAGTCTATGGGAAAATGACCCTACTTGTCACTTGACTTGTTACCTCAGTAAACATTTTCATTATGTGTTTATGGTCTGAATCACTAGTTTGAAGTTTTATTCGATATAACATGATGTTCATTTTTTCAAATTATGGTCCTATTTAAAACAAAATAGACGTTAAAGCAGAGTGGTGGTTTTAGGGCGTGGCTACTGCGTGATTGACACACAGGGGGGCCTGCCTGTTAATCCGGATAGAGGCCAAAGCGATGTGTCAGACATTTGACTTGTCATTGTGTTTTCAGCTCATCAGAGTTAGCTCCAACATGTTGTTTGCCTGAAAATGTCTTGTTCGGTGTTCAGTTGTTCTAAAAGACACTCAGAGGAGTCGGCGGTTCAATTTGTTCCGGTAAGTACATTTTGTTTTAAGCCTATTTCTTTGCTTGCCAAAATTTGCATCCCTGTCAATATCAAGTTCAGGTGAAGATGCACATTGCTAACCAAGCTAGCCAGCTAGTGCTAGCGTTAGCTGATAATTTAGTGATTGCTATCTATGCTAACGGTACCTGGGCCCGCTGGGCAGGTAACCTGTGTCAACCTAGGTTAGTTCGTGGAGGTGTTCAGTCAAAGCCCAATAGAAAGGTACATTTAATAGATGTTGATCTAACGGTTTTTGGTTTGTGTTTCTCGCATAATGTGGCCCTTTTAAGTGATCTGCGTTAGTGTAATGTGCAGCATTAATGTTAGTTAATACATTAACTTGACATATACAAAATGTGTAGAAAAATATTTGTCATATAGAAGATTGTTCATTTAATACTCAAACCAGTCCTCAACTGAAGCAGAAATTCATGCACATATCCTGACAGCTGATATTTGTGATTAACTGTGATCCACCACATCTTTACTCAAGTGTTTGTCTTTTATTGTCATTTTAAAGGTTTGTGAAAACTGGGTAATCTGCACCAACAGGAGGAGGACCGTATGTATGGAGCAGCCCATTTGTTTCCATTCATCTGGTTGTGGAGAGGGGAGACTGCATGGATATCCTTAGTTCTCAAATGGGCTGTGATGATGATGCTAGAAAACCACTCCCAGTTCAGCTTCCTCTGATGAAATGACAGACTAACTGTTGATTAGTTTTTTTTATTATTCTCTGTTTTACATGTATGTGTCCCCAAAGATCCAGACCTTGGCTGGATGGAAAAAAAACATTATAATAGAGAGAAATCATATCAATATCATATTGTAGAATATAGAGAAAAAGACAAAAGAAACAGCACTCTGATTAGATGATCACACAAATATCTGAAAATACATTATTACCTCGGCTTAGTTATAATAAACAGTATGCTGAACTGTTTTATATTAAATAACAATAGAATAGAAACTAATACTCAGTTTGGTGTCATTGTGCAGGTTCACGTCATGATGGTTCTCAGCTCTTGGTGATGCTCTTTATTCTGACACAGAGACAGAATCATTCCAACAGATGTTTTGACTCCTGTCATCAATAATGAAATGAAGTAGAGCTGAAAACTAGCCGACTAACACTGAACCAAACTTAATATGAACAAACACGAGACACACGTCCGCTGCTCTGCTCTTTAACAGCACGTCCAGACACGATAGTTCACTGTAATAATGTTATCATTAAGTGACTGTAACTTACCAACATTGACAACCCGCTGTCACTGTTAACAGTAAGTTCAGTAACGTGACCTTAGCTTTGCAGAACTAATTTTAAAACATGTTATAACATGTTTCCCCCTGGTCTATGGTTTTAATACAAGCAGTTACACCACACAGCTTACACACAGTAACTTCAGCTAATATTACAAGGTTTCTCCTCATATATGTGATATTTACCAAATATGGACATGGATGCAATTAGCTACAAAGATGTTTTTAACACTAAGCTATAAAGTTTACGTCGAATTATGAATGCTAACTGTGTTAGCAGCATCTTCTTATCGTGTATCCAGAAGGCTGTTGCGGTCAGGTAGCCGGAGTAGGTGGGAATGCATAGTGTCCTCTGTTCTCGGGGTCAGATCGGGTCAGATCCACCCATGGATGTATTATAAATTATAAGTTAGAAAGAAATGATTAGAAATTATAAGTTTTTATAATACATCAATGGATCCACCCCTCACTCCTACCCAGCTCCACCCTCTCCTCAAAATATGGTTTCTTCCGGTTTCAAAAACCAAAATGGCGACGGCCAAAACTCAAACTCCTGGCTTCAAAACGGCAGTTCACAAACCAATGGATGACGTCACAGTGGGTTGCCACTTGTTTGCCACTTGGTTGCCACTTACTGTCAACACAGTACGAACCTGTAATGTAGTGGGCTTTTATTTTGAAATGTGACCCGGAAGTTATCATCCTACCCTTGTCATATTTCACAGTGAGAGCAGAGGAGACAGAAACCACTCGTACTCGCATTTAGTCAACAGTAGAAAGCAACAGTTTGCCTTCACTAATTCTGAAATGTCCAGACTCCAGAGTCTGAAGGTCTTCGTCAACCAGCGGCTGACCGCGGCGGTGGAGGAGATCTTCGGACACTTTGAGAAAACAATAACCGAGTATGAAGAGGAGATCACCCGCCGCCATCGCGAGATGCTGGATGTGGTTCAAACACCTGAGATAAAGCAGAGAGGTTCGTTTTCTTTCCCCCGCTGGAAACATGTTTGTTGCTCTGCAAATGTCACAGGGAGTCAGTCACAAGCTAATGCTAAGCCAACGTTAGCTAAACCATCCACACACAGCTGTTAGCAGCTGCTAGCTCCTGCTAAAGACCAGTAGCTTAATTTCGAACAACAGGCCTCAGACAGTGTCAACAATCCAACATGAGACCTGACGATCAGTCAAGAAACTACTGACTCTGGTTAATTAACTCAATCTAATTAACTCTGCTTAATTATCAGATGATCTGAGGTTTGTTACTGAACATTACTAAGCAGCAGATAATTGTCCGGATGACTGAAGAATGAGGAAGGACAGGTCTCGTACCCATGAGGGTAAAATACATGATCAGTGCAGTTATCACCTCATCTACAGTCATTTACACTCAGTGGCCACTTAATAAGGTACACTTACTGTCCAGCTCTGACACAGACTTGATGGAGTTTATAATGTCCACTTTTGTTGATACTGTCTGAGTCATCAGGTGTTGATGTGTTGATGCTGTGTGCGACTTAGAAGCATCATCACTCCAGTGTCACGGTCCACCTGGTGTGCTGGGGCTGTGTAATGATAAATTACTGCGTTTATGTATAAAACTTTATATATATATAGAAAGTCAAAGTACATTCACTTTTCACCATTCAGACACATTCACACAGCATTTGTTGTATACATTCTCTATCACACACACCAATGGTACATCATCAGGGGCAATGTTGGGGTCAGTATCTGGAGGAGCAGGGAATCGAACCACCAACCCTCAGATTGGTTGACGTCCCACTCTACCATAAAGCTGGGGTTAGGCTAATATGCAGTGGCCTGACCTTCTCTACCACATGAACAGGAGACATCATCGTCCTGCAGAGAAACTGCAGCTCTAACAGCCAGACTCAACAACAAGCCTCTATGGTAACATCAGTTCAAACAGCAGCAGTCCTGTCTGACCGTCAGTCATCACTTGAGTCTGAGACAGGAACCAGTCACTGTTTTTTACTGATAGAACCAGAAAAACTCACTTGATTTCTTTTATGATTCAGAGCTGAACTGAATGTTTTCCTTGAACTTGAAATTAAAGGGTTTCTTGTTGAATTTTTCTCACCAGCACACAGTGCGTTAATCCCTAAAGTCCAACATAGTGAACATGTTTCCTTCCTCATTAATGGTATTAATGTATTGATAATCATTGTTATTGATCAATATGAAAACAAATATTGTGATAATATTTTGGCCCCGTGGCGTGCCACTTTTGTTTCAGTGTCACATGTTGTATGTTGTTTTGACTGGTGGAATCACATAACAGGAAGATGCATGTCACTTGACTCTGGAGTTAACGTGTGTTGTTTCTGTGTGACACATGGAAACAATGTCACTGTTTTTCTGTCTACGTCACACTTATAGCTAAAACCATAACATTATAGATGAGCAGGACAATGTGAATGCTACACTTTTCAGGTTGCTAAGATAGTGGAGCTAACTGTATTACTAATGCCATTTAGTATGCATTGGTTTATATGCAAAGTTTGCTTCATCCCAAAGGGCCTGATATCAAAATGTTTCTTTATTTGTTTGTGTATTTATCTAATGTGATGTAAAGTGGATCATGTGGCCAATGGACTGACATATTAGCTGCTCGAACAAGAGTCATTTAAAACAGCAGCATCAAGAACCGACAGTGACAAACCATCAGCCACTTTACTATACTGGTAGCGTTTTAGCTGGTGTAACAGTATTTGTGCATCCCCGGGACACCTGTCCCACCTGATCAGGTGTAATCATGTAGATGAGGTCTGTATGTTATCTTCTATAAAACCAGTAAAACTGCAGTCTGCTGTGGGGAGACTGGGGGAACCTGTTTCATGTTTATTCGATGGACATTAAAGAGAGCTTCCCCACATTACAAAAACATATTTTCTTACTCATCTCTGTTGATATCCTGCCACTGGTTTAGTAATTTATGTTAAACTATTTGTATTTATGTCAGATTTATTCCCTAAAATCACAAATAGTAAATTTCCGGGAAGGCTTTGTGATGTGTATAACACGAGACATTTCTTTCATGGACAAACACAAAAAAGTCAGTTTAATAAAGCAGTATTTGCAGCATTTTAACATGTGTTTTTCTTTGGTGAAAGCACATTATTAATCTTACTGACACCTCACTAGCTTGGCTTAAGATAAACTCATGGTTTTCAAGAATGTGTCTGTATTTCCCTCTGTCCTGCAGATGTCCACCAGCTGCTGGTGAGTAGAGAGGAGCTGCCCCCTAAGCAGCAGGAGTGGAGCTCCAGTCTGGACCAGGAGGACCCAGAGCCCCCACACATTAAAGAGGAACAGGAGGAACTCTGGACCAGTCAGGAGGCGTCCAACATCATTGAGTTCCCGTCCTCTCCTGTTCCTGTGAAGAGTGAAAATGATGAAGAGCTTCAGTCTTCACAGCTTCATCAAAACCAAAGTGAACCTCCAGCCAGCAGCTCAAGTGGACAGATAGACACAGAAGCTAATGGAGAGGACTGTGGAGGACCAGGACCAGACAGGAACTTAGATGCACATAGTTTTTTACAACCACTCAGTGATGACAAGGTTTCAAACTCCTCTGAACCTGAGACTGAAATCAGTGACGATGACTGTAAGGAGACAGGGGGACCTCAGCCAGGTTTAATCTCCGAGTACACCAATGTCCCTGTGAGTGATGTCACATGTAATGCTGGAAAAAAGTCATTTATCTGCTGTGAATGTGGGAGAAAATTTGGTCGCAAGGACAGTCTGCGGAGACACATGAGGTATCACACAGGAGAGAAACCATACAGTTGTTCAGTTTGTGGCAAAAGATTTTCCCAAAGGCCAAACTTAATTCGTCACATGAGATGTCACTCGGGAGAAAAACCTTTCAGTTGCTCATTTTGTGACACGAGTTTTGCTGTGCGCAGCGCTTTGGTAAACCACATGAGAATCCATACTGGGGAGAAACCATTTAGTTGCTTATATTGTGAGAAAAGCTTTACACAAAAGGGAGGGCTGAAAAAACACATGACTGTCCACACAGGAGAGAAACCATACAGTTGCCCAGTGTGTGATAAAAGTTTTTCTCAAAAGGCAAATCTGACGTACCACTTCTCAGTGCACACGGGACAGAAACAGTTCAGCTGCAGCGTCTGTGACAAAAGATTCACTTGGCAGTCGCAGGTCAAGAGCCACAAGTGTGTGGGTGAGAGCAGCAGCAGTAACTGAAGCTGCAGAGCTGCTGGTTCACTGGAGGAAACTCTCTGCTGTTAACTTCTCACTTCACGCCACAGACAGTTCAGTTAGCTGAGGCATGAACAACATGGACTGTTCTGTAACATGGTCTCAGTGGAAATACTTATGATTTCTGCTGACACATGACACTACTATAGGACGTTTATAGTACTGTCTTTGGACACAAAGGGTACATCCCACTTCCCTTGATTGAATCCTCATTTCACTCACTTGCATCTTTTCCTTGTATAGACCGTCCCACTAAAGACAGGAGGAGAGAGGAAGCAAGTGAATAATTATTTAATAATATTCATGAATGACTTTCTGTACCATTTTGGCAGAACTAAGTTTCTGATCTGTTGTACCAATAAAGCTCATTTGAATTTTGATTTGGAAACGAGACACCATCATCTGAAGCATGATCAGTTTCTGATGAGGACCGCACAGCTGGTTCACAGCTGTCAGTCAGCTTAACTTGTGAGTGTTAGGAGTTTATATTTGCATATGGACGTTACCACCAGCGGCTCAGCTGTGTTTTTTAAGTCTCTTTGTTTGAATATGTTTAAACTAACAGACAAACATCTGCACCTTTTTAAAAACCTGTATTCTGTATTTGAACTGAGCTCAATAGTGTAAAATGATTTACCAGCCCAAAGAGTAAATAATCTTAATGTGTCTGACATCAACAGAAACTTTAACACAGATTCACTGTTTTAAGTCGACTGTGAATCTGAAAACAGAACCGCTTAAGTTCACTTCACTTACATATAAAACTGCAGTAATGTTGTGATGTCCTGTGACATTGGTCCAATCACTAACTGATTTCTGTGAAGGATGTTCTTGTGTTTGCTCGATCACGTCTCCTCTGAGCACTGGAACTTTCTTTGAGATGGAACCAGAACCAGATCAAGTTCAGAACATTTAAACGAGGGAACTGATTTGTCTCCGGTGACTTTGGTATTTACAGACAATAAATGATCTTTGAGGAACTAGTTTTGACTCTGTTTTCTTATTTAATTTGGTCTGTCATGTTTAGCAGTTTGAAAATTAATATTCAAGCTAAAAGTGACTAAATCAGCCTGATGAGCTCAAGTCTCTAATTCATGTTAGACAGTAAATGTGCTAAAACTTAGTCCATTACAAGTGGGCTGCACATGATAAAATTATACTGTGAGAATGATTTGGGGGTTAAAGGTCAAAGTTGGCCCCTCCTCCCCAGTTCACAGAGAGAGAGAGAGAGAGAGCAGCGGTGGTCGACGGAATGAAGAGAGGGAGCGTTAGCAAGAACAAAACAGTGAACCAGAGAAATAAAAATTTTCAGATGTCTGTGAGTTGTTAAACTCCACCAGACAAGGATTTTTCCCTTATTTTAACAGCCGAGCTGCCCAGACGTGGAAGTATATGGGACAGACTCAGGCCGAGGACACAGGCATATTTTGGGCCAGAAGGTAACTTTGCTACCTGAGTAATGACAGTAATTTTTGTAAAACTGTCCCACTGCCATTAAATTTGCATATGCATGAGGGGCAAACTGACAGCACCCACTCCTTAGTAGCAAAACCTGTCGTTAGGACATGGCATGTACGTACCAGTGAAGCTTATTACCAATTATCAATGTCTCTGTATATATATATATATACACACTTATATATAAAAATTAAATCAATATTTATGTAAAAGATAATCTTATACACAGCACTGACAAATATGTAGGTGTGTGGGCAAGGACATGACATGGGGAGCTTGTGAAAGGAAAGTTATTAATTGAATAAATTATAATTCACTCCCACGCTTCTTTGTCCGCATTTCGTTTTTGCTGAACATGTTTTTGTTTGCCGTCTTAATCTAATTATATCCTTATTTTTTCCACAGTTTAATTTTCAGATATCAAGTAAAAAAAAAATCCCAAATGTGGATAGTCATCGATAACATTGTTAGAGATTCTTCAGGTGTTTAAGAAGGACTAGACTGATCCCGATCTCTCTGAATATAAAGGTTGTGTTATTGTTGAGTAAAGATTGAGGATGGTTATTGCCCTGACTGATCAATCAATCATGTGGTCAATGAAAGCTGTTCAAAGCCTACTGAGTGGAATTCATGGTACTGGATTATATAAAGAAAACTGACTCGAGTGTGTTTTGATATTCATTTTACTTTCACGTAAGACGAACAAAAGCAGCAAAAACTTACAACTAGGAAACTTGAAAGTGACTCAAATGATTATCAAAATAGTTTCTGATTCATCTCCTGTTGATCGACTATGGATGAACTGACTTAGTACAGGTGTGTGTGTTAGTAGTGTGGTAGTGATGTAGGCATGGCACTCAGCTATAAAAAGGGAGCAGGCTTCACAGTGATGCAGGTGTTTAAGGCTGCAGTCACTAAACATGTCCAGCAGGGGGCACCACAGCACAGGTGTGGTGTATATACAGGACTGTGTCTGTACATTTGGTGCCTCTGAACAGACCAATCTGTCCATTATATTTTATAACAATTGTGATAATTTTATAATATTCAATTTTGGATTTATTCAACTTCTGGTCTTTTTCTTCCTTATTCTGGTTTTGATAATGTTATAGAATATAAACTGGTTATTAATTTTCCTGTTGGTTTGTAACATCTGTTTCTGTTCATGTATTCGGTCTTTGTCCGTTGTGTACTGCGCTGCAGGTCATCTGCACATCAAGTGTTTCTCAGAACCAGTCGGCTGAATTTAGTGGATCTGCAGTCATAGTGAGGCAAATCAAGAGAAAAAAACTTCCACAGAAGAACTCTACATTTATTCAAAACAGTGACTGGACAAATAAAGATGAAAACACTGCAGGTTTAAAAACATTTCTACCCAATTAATTTAAAATATTTTGGTACAATTCACCTTTACAATCGATAACAAAATCAGTTCAAAAGTTAATGTAAAGAGTAAACAGCATCATCACAACTCAAACAATCTGTGGCTAAATAAAATAACGTTTAACATCCTGACTGATATGTTTTGTCTGGTTTGGTCTGTTTACCACTGGTTGTCACATTCTCCATTTGATACCAACACCAAAGAAATATTCTACACACAGTGTGGAGTTTAATTTAATCCAGTTTTGTGTTTGAAAATCAGTCAACTTCTCGTTTTTGCGCAGCAGCTCTGTGAACATGTTTCCACTAAATAATGTATCTTATACCACAGGAACTTCACGAACTGAACCCTGACTAAGGTTATCTGGTCTCCTCCCAGTCTTTATCACTGTCTTCAGTCCCAGTACCTGGCTGTAAATGTCTGCCTGAATCCAGCCTCCTGGCTGGTTCTGGTTCTCAGCTGTATCATTTTCCCTGTGTTGATATATGAAATACAAAATAAAGCAGGAGTGGTTAGAAATAACCATCAAGAAAGAGTAATTAATTAAGAATTGGTCAGTAATGAGTGTTAAGAAGACATGGAGGACACATGAAGAAGAAAGGACAGTAGTTACAGGTCTACAGAGACCAGGGAGGGTGGAGACTTGGTGGAGGAGAGAAAATGGATCTTTAGGCTTTGAAAGCAGCTGGACTACAGGATTGTAGTGAACCTTTAAAACCAGAGGGGGCAGCAAAACAACATAAACGACGCCAGCTGGCGTAAGACCCCAAAGAAGAAAATGAGCAAGATGGCGGCTGAACGGGAGCCCCGTGTCAGCACAGCCCCGCGCTCCTCTCTCAGTGCCTGTGACGAACAACCCGAGAGAGCCGTCAGAGACTGTGTGTGTGTGGATGAAGCTGTCTGAACGGACCGTCTCTCTCAATGAGCTCATCTCACGGTTTCCTACAGAGCCACTGGAGTTAGCTTAGCATGTTAGCTGGAAACAGCCTGGCGGGGACGGAGCGTAGCATCACAGCTGGTCAGAGTGAGTGTGTGGTGAAGAGCACGGTTTGTTAGTGACGGGGGGAAAGTGTGTGTGGTTGTGTGAACATGTCTAAAGTCCACATGCTGAGAGCTGTGGTGAAGCAGAGACTGACTGCGGGCGGAGCAGCGGCAGAGCGGCCGTACTCTGCGCTTTACGGTAACAGCGCCGCCGTATGCTGCTGACTGTGGCGGTTACTGTGCTTTTACTCTGATTAACGACAGCGGTTACCAACACTGAGGAGCCACACGTCTCCGTAACATCACCGCTGTTGAACCATAATAAAATGTTTTTGATGCTGCCAATCTCTAATGAAGGGTGACACTGTAATAGATAATACAACTTCACGGTAATAATGGGAGACAAACTCCTCTGTGAACGAAGCCAGAGAGTATCCTGACAGATACTAGACCTGAGGCTGGTGTTGGCACATGCGAGTAATACAAACAAAGCAGATAATGTGTGATATATTTTTATATAAAGTCTATGGTGATAATAAGCTCATAACACAGATGCACCCTGGTGACCTACAGTTAAGGCACCAACCATGACCCAATCCAGGTCAACCCCCAGGTCCCATCATCTCTAAACACAACACCCCAGCAAAAATATGTTACATAACAACTATTTATTGATTAAACTCCCTTTATTACATTGAAGAACTTGTGACTGAGACGTGTTCTGAGACGAACATGGTACAGTTGAAAAATAAACTTATAATCAACCGTTTTAGCATATTTGTATAAAGGCCAGATTTAGCTGATATATCATTCCAGATGATTACACATCTCAGGCTTTATGTGACATAAAAGTTTACCATCATTTATCTGATTTACATACAGTTATTACATACTTTTTTGGTCTTTTACTGACATGCATTAATAATAGATAAAACTATTAATATCAGTCATGGAAATCTTAATCAAACTCATCTTCACAGCTGATGTGGTGTGATGTGAAAATAGTTATCCACAGTGTGTGTGTGTCTGTGTTTCACTCTGTCCTCCAGACGTCCAGCAGCTGAGTAAAGAGGAGCAGCAGGAGTGGAGCTCCAGTCTGGACCAGGAGGACCCAGAGCCCCCACACATTAAAGAGGAACAGGAGGAACTCTGGACCAGTCAGGAGGGAGAGCAGCTTCAAGGACTGGAGGAGGCTGATATCACCAAGTTCACATTCACTCTTGTCCCTGTGAAGTGTGAAGATGATGATGATGAAGAAGAGAAACCTCAGTCCTCACAGCTTCATCAGAGTCAGACTGAGGAGAACAGAGAGGCAGAGCCTCCAGCCAGCAGCTCAACTGAACACATGGAGACAGAAGCTGATGGAGAGGACTGTGGAGGACCAGGACCAGACAGGAACTCAGATCCACATAGACATTTAGAGCCAGTTAGTAATGACAAAACTTCAGACTCTTCTGAGACTGATGTCAGTGACAATGATTGGACCAAGACCAGAGAACCTCAGTCTGGTTCAAACTCTATGAAGAGTATTGTACATAATACTGACAAGGGATCATATATTTGCTCTGAGTGTGGTAAAACATTTGGCCTAAAGACAAATCTGAAAAGACACATGAAATGTCACACAGGAGAAAAACCATTCAGCTGCTCATTCTGTGATAAAAGTTTCAATCGGAGAGAACACTTGATTGCTCACATGAGGTGTCATTCAGGAGAAAAACCTTTCAGCTGTTCTGTTTGTAACACAAGTTTTAGTCATGGCTGGTCTTTGGATAAGCACATGAGAGTCCACACTGGGGAGAAACCATTTTGTTGTTCATTTTGCAGTAAAAGCTTCAGGCAGCGCTCAGATTTGGTTGCACATTTTAGAATTCACACAGGAGAAAAACCTTTTTCCTGCTCAGAGTGTAACACCAGCTTCACCCAGCGTCACACTTTGGTTCAGCACATGAGGATCCATACTGGGGTGAAACCTTTTGTTTGCTCAGTTTGCGGAAAGAGATTCTCACGAAAGGGACATCTAACAAGACACATGACGGCTCACACTGGGGAGAAACCATTCAACTGCAGTGTTTGTGACAAAGGATTCACATGGCAGTCACAGTTTAAAAGACATGAGTGTAGTGGAGAGAGCAGCAGCAGTAAATGAAGCTGTGGAGCGACAGTTTAATGTTTCTTACTGCCCATCTTTTGATTGACATGAGTGTTGAAGGGTTAGAGCAAGAACAACATGAACGTATAAGAATGTGTAACATAATAAATGGTCCCCGAGAAATTAGTGTTGGTTTCCTGTTCGTTCGATCAGACCTAATCATAAACACCAAAGACGTTGGTGTGCTGAATTATATGTCACCGTTTCTGTACCTCACTAACTTCAACAAATACAGGACAAACTGGTTTCTAAAACTCATAATAATCCCATAATTCTTTTCCAAACACTTGACAACCTTGTAAATCCAGCTCCAAACACTTTTATCACTTCATTATCAAAATGTGAAGAGTTCACTGCATTTTTTAGACACAAGACTAAAAAAAATCAGGTTGGACCTAAATGTGCAAGAGCCTGTCTTTGGACACTTCTCCTCTACCTCAGACTGCTGTGAATGATTTTGCTGCTGTTGATAAGAGAAATACTTAAGAAAGAAATAATGCAACTAAAACCCTCCACCTGCTCACTCATCTCCATCCCCACCTTCTTTGTAAGGCTGTGTTTAATTTTTTAGATGATGAAATCACTCTCTGCTGACTTGTACTTTCCCTTAGGCACTGGAAACTGCTGTTGCGAATCTTCCTGAAGAAAAGGAACCCTGATAAAACCTTGATTTCAAATTTTTCCTTCTTAAATAAAATTGCTCAGAAATTAGTATTTAAACAGCTAAATGTTTACCTACATCTCAAATGTGTATTTGACAAGTTATGATCTGACTTTTGTCCTCACCACAGCACCGAGAGGGTGCTGGTTATAGTACTAAATGACCTGAGACTGATTAAACTCATTAAACTCATTAAACTATCAGTATTGGTACTTTTAGACTTAAATGCATTTGATACAGTCAATCATGATGTCCTTATTAACAGATAACAGAACTGTGCTGGCCTCTCAGTTTTAGACTGGTTTAGACTTTTCTGTCTCCATTGGTCTGTCTCAGCGAACGCTAGCATAACGTGGGGTTCCCCAAGGCTCGATTCTGGGACTGTGTGGTTCAGTCTCTGGATGATGCCACTGGGAAAGTTCATCAGAGAACATGGCATTAATTTTCATGGCTATTGTGACGATACATAGGTGTACAATTTGTTATCACCTATTGGCATCAGCCCTATTGATAAACTAATTCAATGCATTGATCATGTCAACTCTGGGATGGTAAAGTATGGTTAGGGAATCACTTCCAGGCTATTTACTCTTAGCCTTCCAAATAAATGCTGAACTTCTGAGCATTACAATAAGTTCTGTATGTGAAAAATCAGAACTTAAAAAAAATAGAAATGTATAAATGGAAAAAAATAATAATAAATTGATAGAATAAGGTAATTTAGTCCACTGGATTGTTAAGGCCAATATTAATATTGAAGAATTTAGCCCTTGTAAACATGCAAACATATTAATAAATATTTTATGAGGATACCAAATTGTTTAAAAGAATTATAATGTATTATGTGAGCAGAATGTTTTACATTTGTGAAATTAACTTGTCATTGCTCTGTAATGACTATGAGAAAAAAAAACTGCAATTTGATCATTAACTGGAATAAGTGTGAACAATAAAAACAGAATTTTAAAAGAAAGTCAGATCACTAATGTGACAACAATGTGACGGAATTGACTGCACCAGCAACATTTTTTAAAGTCTTTTATTTAGCATGTAATAATAACAACAAGGCTAGATAAACAATCTGCTTTGTGTATATAATAATGCGAAAACAAAAGACATCTATAATAATTGTATTGTTTTAAACGTCTGTTTAGATCTTGGACTTTTATTTAGAAAGTCGGCAATCAACTATCACCGGAAACGTTTACCGTCACAGCGGGTACCTTTACAGAGGTACTTTATAACATCTGGTGACCTGTCCCCGTTTCTTCAGACAGCGGGTGAGTATAAAGAGCCGTCAGAGCATCTGTGTGTGTGAATAAAGATCTGAACGGACTGTTTCTCACAATGAGCTCATCTCCCGGTTTCCTACAGAGCTACTGGAGTTAGCTTAGCATGTTAGCTGGAAACAGCCTGACGGGGGACGGAGCGTAGCATCATCGCAGCTGGTCAGAGTGAGTGTGTGCTGGAGAGCACAGAGGCGTGACGGAGTGTGTGTGGTTGCGTGAACATGTCTGAAGTTTTCAAGCAGAGAGCTCTGGTGAAGCGGATACTGACCGCGGCTGCTGGAGAGATCTTTGTTCTGTTTGAAAGAACTGTAGCGGAGTACGAGGAGGAACTATGTCGTTCAGAACAGGAGAACCAGCGACAGCATAAACTACTGGACACTGTTTTCAGCCCCTAAGGTTTTTGTTGCACAGAGCAGGTTAGTTCTCCTCTTATTCCCCTCCTGTCCACAATCAGGTTATAATCAACCCTATATTTTGAACTTAGTTGTTTGATAATGTAGAATACAACTGGACCAGCTTCAGGTTCTTGAAGAAGTTGCACCAGTTCTTACAGACTGGTGGAGGGTTCATTTAACTTCTCAGGTAGCTTACCATCAGTCAGGTGACCTAATGACTCACGTGATGGGTGGAGGGGGGGTCACATGTGACCTCAATGACTCTCAAGGTGTTAACGACCCACAACAAGTTGGTCAAATATTTAGAATGCAAAAATTTGAAAGTAAAATTCAAACAGTGTTTACTACTATAATAAAACGTCTGACCCACAGACATGTGCATTATAATATATGAAATAATGGAGAAAGATCAATATAGAGCAGTTAATTGAACTAACTGCTAGTTTACCCACCTCACAGTTGGTTTATACTCTTAAATCAAAGCATTTCTATAAGAAAATAAAGCTCTGGAAAAACTACAGTTAAATTTGTACAGGTGCCCAGTTCTGGCCACTTTGGAACCGGTTCTAATTTGAACCGGGTGTCAGTTCCCCATCCTAGCTATCACAGGGACTAAAATCTGTCCATAGACAGACAGACACCTGCCTAAGTACTTGAAACCTCCTCTGTGGTAGTTTCTCGATACAGCAGTTGTCTCTAGGACCACAGTAAACAGACTTTAAATTGAAGTGACAGAACTGGAGTAAAGGCCTTTCACTGTCTTTACTGACAGGAACAAACTATTAACATCTTGACTCAAGTATTTTCAACATCTTAAGCCTAAGTAGTGGTTTCTGTGGTTTCAGTCACAGTTTTCATTTGTGTGTATCTGTGTTTCACTCTGTCCTGCAGACATCCAGCAACTGTTGATGAGTGAAGAAGAGCAGCAGGAGTGGAGCTCCAGTCTGGACCAGGAGGACCCAGAGCCCCCCCACATTAAAGAGGAACAGGAGGAACTCTGGACCAGTCAGGAGGGAGAGCAGCTTCAAGGACTGGAGGAGGCTGATATCACCAAGTTCACATTCACTCCTGTCCCTGTGAAGAGTGAAGATGATGATGATGATGAAGAGAAACCTCAGCCCTCACAGCTTCACAGCTGTGGAGGACCAGAATCAGACAGGTACTCAGATCCACATAGTCATCTTCAACCAGATACAGAAGACAAGGCCCCAGATTCCTCTGAGCCTGACACTGATGACAGCGATGACTGGAAGGAGATGAGGGAGCCTCAGTCAGGTTTAAACGTTGTTAAAATGAATCCATGTGGGAAAAAAGACTCTGTCAGTAAGGTGGTCTGGTATAGTAGCAGCAAACCGTATAGTTGCTTCAAATGTGGTAAAGAGTTTGGCCACCAGAGGTCTGTACAGAGACACATGATGTCTCATGAGGACCAAAAGCCTTTAGCCTGTCCTGTTTGTAAAAAAAATTTTAGATGCAGTTCAGAGCTTGAGAAACACATGAGAATCCATACTGGAGAGAAGCCATTCAGTTGCCCAGTTTGTGAAAACAGATTTTCTAGGAGGGAAAGTGTAATTCGTCACATGAGATGTCACACAGGAGAAAAACCTTACAGCTGCTCGTTTTGTCTGAAGCGTTTTAGATGTAATCAGTACATTGTGACACACATGAGATCCCACACAGGGGAGAAACCGTTTGACTGCTCATCCTGTGGCAAAAGTTTTTGTTCCAAATCAAAATTGACACAACACATCAGAGTTCATACTGGAGAGAAACCGTACACCTGCTCAGATCCTTTTAGTCAAAGCAACTCCGACAGAACACATGATAGTCCACACAGGAAGGAAACTGTTCAGTTGTAACGTTTGCAGTAAAGGTTTTAGATTTCACTCACAAATCACAAACCATAAGTGTGCTGTTGACAGCAGTAAATGAAGCTGCAGAGTTGCTGGTTGAGCTGAATTGTTCAAGATAAACAGAACTGAGACGCATCAAATCGTTCATTGTTCAGGAGAAACCATGTAGGTGGCTGCTGGTAGATCTATCAAGTTTCTCAGAGACGGAAATCAGTCCTAGCTGCCCTGAATATTTCAGTGACGTAGTAATGAAGTAAAGAAAAGCTCGACAGGTGTCAAACTGTTATGTCTTTTTTACTTTCAGCCTACAGGGGAAAGTCCATATTGGTAAATATCATTTTAAGGTTTAATGTATTTATTTATTTTGTTTTGGGATATTTGCACAATATACCTTGGGTAACTCACCTGACTGTGTTATTTTTCTGTTCACATAAACCCTGTGGTGATAATTTTCTGCATTAAAATGTTTTCACTACAAAATGCACCTGTCAGAAAAACTATATAATCAAGAGTCCTACATTACGCTTAGTCAGATTATGAAGCCTCATTAATAACTTTAAGTCATTAAGACTTATTAAGATTAAGACTGGTTCATCTCTGGTGAAATACAGTATATTTGATGTTGTTGCCTGTGGATGAGACAGATTTTCATGTCATTTTTGTTTGTTGTTTTTTCCTGCATCACATTGTGTGAATCATTCTGTCAGGTATGAGACTTTAATATCAGCTCTTAATTGTCACAAAGCCATGACTGCTTTGAACTTTCTTCAACCTACATTTGCTAATCTGACACAAAGTTCTGTGATTATTTTATTATAATTATAATAAATATGTCTTCATACTGGAGACACAGTGACATAAAACATTTTGTCTGTTTTTTTTTTTTGCAGTCATTTCAGTAAACAACATCACAGCTTCAGTTTTTATTCCTTAAAACTACAAATAAAGGTTACGATGATGCAGATAATTCAACTGTTGGCAGATTTATGTCCATTAGTCTACTTTGAAACTAAACAAGCTTTTACTGTGTATATTAAAGTGCAGATTCTGCTGACATCTGGACCAAAACAACATTCTGTAAACGATTGTCATAATTAAATCCACAGACATATCCTGGTGCTATTAAAATCTTAATACAAAGACACAAATCAAACAGAACTAATAATGAATTCTCTGACTTACATCTTATCTCTGCATCCCGCCAGACGAGTCAACTCTGGAACTGCAGTGACTGTTGCTGACCACTGGAGGTCAGTAGGTCAACACTTTTCAGTCCAGCTGTTTCCTGACCTGCAGCTTTTAGGCTCCTTGTATGAAAATCTACTTTTGTATAAGATAATAAATTCACTCTCATAAAAGACAAGGGAAAATGTTCAGTTTTAAGCTCTGGGTTGTTTTATACAACCGTTGCTGTCCTGACATCACAGTGTTTGGGACACAGGCTGCAGCCGAGCGCTCAAACTACAAACGACTTTAAAACACACGGCAAATTACTATCAAGGTTTCCACAGAATCATTTAGAGTATGGAAATGTGCACATGATCATTTACACTTGATAATAAGTAATAAGGTAATAAAAGTGATATTTTATGGAGTCGATCTCCATTCACATCACGAGCTCACAGTGACACTGAGCCAGAACTACAGAAGTAAGAAACATTAATATTTGGTATCAACAATATTTTATATGTTGGGTTTTTATTCTTCTCACTGTGGCATGCTGTGTGCGTCACATCGGAACAAGAATATTACAGATGGAACAAATAACACACTTACTGTTTTGAGCTTCAGCCACAGTTTTGAATAGATGCTGTGACTTTTTAAAACCACCCGATGTGTTTGAAGCCCTGAAGCTGATTCTTATAGTAATGATGATGTTTGTTTCTTACCAGAATCTGTGGTTACAAAGTGCAGGCAAAAGGCAATGAAAGACACAAACGGAAAACACAGGCCGAAGAACTTAAAGTAACATTACTGACAGTGGACCTCAACAGCCGCCCATACCTGCAGGTCCTTCCACACAACCCACTTCAACCCTGACTCCTTCAATTCTTTGGCTGTCGAGTGTTTGTCTGTTTTCACCCAGAAGACGCAACATCTACATTTAAAAAAGCATTTTATTCAGACTGAATGGTTGATCAATCTTTGTTTGTGAAGGTAACAATAATAAGTGTTTTTAATATTTCCAGTAATAATAATTGGTTTATTGTTGTTGGTTACTATTTTAATTACCTGCTTTATAGACAGAGACTTGATGCAGAGATGCATGAGTTCTTTAGGGAAAAAAGCTATGAGGAAAAAAATAAATGGTAGATCAAATAAAATAAATAAAAGAATCAAATCTTAGCTTTAAAGTTTCTGACAATAAAAATAAAACCAGCCTAAAATTCTGTTGAAATTCTATTTTACCATTTTTATTTGATGTTAGTGACAAGTGCTGTAATTAACTCTGAATATGAATATTCAAAGAAAAACATACAAATCTTCAGTTTAGAATTTGACTTTATTAAAATATGAATATCATGTTACATTTCAGAGGCGCTTCTGGCTACAGCTACAACTTGAACAGTTTTTGAAGCTGATTTCCAAGTGAAACAAAATTATACAGAATAATGTTCTAGGAACTATGTGGTGCCAGGCCGCCCCAGTCTGTTTGACAGCCATGTCTGGACCACGTATTTCAAAACAAAAGAACATCAAATTATACAAAATTCAGCCTGTTCATTTATATACAGTATAACACAAAAAAAGGCCTGAGAGGCATTAAGGAGAAATATCTAACTATTCATGTTGTAAATTCCTCCCAGGTCAGGGTACTCAGCAAGAAAATTCAGTTTTTCAAGTTCAGAAAAGACTCACTGAAGATCATATCTGTAGATGGCCTAGTGTTTGTGGTTACAATCAAGATAAAGTATTTCACAGAGGTAGATAGGAAGTTTATTAAGTTTCATGTTTCAAGTTTCAAGTTTTAGTTTTATCGTCATCTGCAGAGGAGCCACCATGAATCATATCAATCTCCCTCTGTGTTTTTAGTTCGGTTGATTAAGTTACAGAGAGGAAAACATAATATATTTTCTGGATGTAAAACCTTTTGTGACAAATTAAAAAAAAAATAGTAATTTGGGTTTGTTTTTCAGCCATAACTAAAAACAAAATCTTGGTTTTCTTTATCCAGAAAACTAATTAGTAAGAATCTCAGTGTAAATGTTTGTTGTTGCTTTCATGCTCCAGTACCTCACTAAAGCTCTACAACTTCACTGTCAGTCTCGTGTTTCTGAACCACTGAATGAATCTCGTGGCACGAACGCCTCACATGATTCATTTCTGCTGTGTGAAGTCGTGTGCGCTGTTTCAGATTTCTGATTTGAGGAATTACCTGTTTTTTTCTCCTAGTATTGATTTTCATGTGAGGACTCACCAACACACTTATGGTATTTAAGCTCTGTATACCAAGCAAAGCCTTTGTCACAGACAATGCAACAGTACCGTTTATCAACAGTGTGGACAGCCATGTGATTGCGCATACTTGTCTTATGTGCATATTTTTTACCACAAACTGGGCAACTGAATGGTTTCTCTCCTGTATGAGTTCTCACGTGCATCTTCAGGTGGGAATCGTAAGAAAATTTTTGATCACAAACAGGACAAACAAATGGTGTCACTTCCGCATGACATTCCCTATGGGTCTTCATTTGGCACATGTAGCGAAATCTTTTACCACAATCAGGGCAGCTGTATGGATTCTTAGTATAACATCTCATGCCCTTTTCAGAGATGTCATTGTTTTTTAAATTTACTTGTGGTTTCCTGCTCTCTTTCCAAAAATCACTGTCCACACTGTCATCACTCTCCGGTTCCAGGGACCCTGACGCCTTCACATCAGAGCAGCTAAAACGGTTCTCAACAGAACCTAATCCCATGTCTCCTTCAGCAATTTCATTATGTGTTAACGAGTCTAAAACTGACGGACATTGACTCTTTCTGGTTCTCGTCCTGGTGTCTTTCCAAAAATCACTGTCGTCAGTGTCAGGTTCAGAAGGGTCTGAAGCCTTGTCACCAGTACCTGGTTGCCAAGCTGGATCTGAGTTCCTGTCTGG